GTGAATCCCAGTTTCATAGCCGAGCAGAGCGTGGCCCAGTGGGAGGAAGCCCCCCTCTGTGAGCGTTTATGGAGTGCACGGCAGAGCTGGCGGTTCAGTTGTGTWCCTCTTGGTGTCATGCATGTTATTTGATTGAAACTTCACAGTGACCTTGGAGGGGAGGATGAATCCAGTTTTACTTACGCTGAACTGAGCTTCAGGAATGTCCTTGCACATCTAGCACGTGGGTCTCGCAGGGAAGAGCGCAGTCCCGGGGGTGGGCTGAGAGCTCTGGCTCCCCACCCGCGGGCTGTGGACCTTCAGCACTTCATGAGAAAATGAATTTCTTCACCTGTGAACCTGGCATGCTGATCCCAATTCACAGTGTTGTTTTAAGGGTTGAATTAAATCATGGACGTGAAGCCACGGCCATCGCTTAGTAGGCGGCTCTCTGGGGCCTAGCGCTTCTGGCATCTTACTCCTGCAGCAGTCTATTTTCTAGGAGATTTAGCCATAACCAAATAGTGGCACTCAGAGGCACAGCTCACTTGGGGGAAACCAGGATTTGATTCTGTTCTTCTGTCTTCTTATGTAGACGACACGTGGTCCAAGAGGGTCCATGTTTGCTCAGTTCCATTCCAGGATATGAGAAGGGATGGTTTGCTCGTCTGGGTGTCGTCAGTGCTTTTCCCAAAGAGCTGGCAGAGGCTGAGTTTTCTAGTACTAGTTCCCCAGTACCTTTGAGCACAGGGTATAAGAACACTTGGCTTTTCCTAGCTTTATAAAAATGCACCCTCTTTTGGCTGCTTTCAGATAAGCTGGTTTTCATCTTATTAGTGGGGAAATAACTGGGCGACTGACAAAGCTGTGTCTCCCAGGCCCAAGGTGTGTCCCTGTTTCTTTCCTTCCTGAAGCCCTCACCCTGTCCTGGCAGTGCCAAGCCAGAAGGGAGCGTACCTTGGCACTAGCTTGCCACCCTGCCCCACCATGGAGCTGCCCCTTGCTTTACTTTTCAGTTACTGACTTTGACCACCCAGGGAAGTCCCACTTCTTGTTTGCTGTGGGTTCTGGAGGCAGGAGCATGCCAGGAGTAGCAGACGCCACACATATAAAACTTTATTTTCTTCTCCAAAAGACCTAAAAATTCCAGAAACCTCATTACAGCTTCTTTTGGTAAAGAGGAAAATGTAACATAGAGGCAGGTCTTTTCTTAGATGCCATGTAAGGGTTCTGGTTCCTGAATTAGTATGTAGTTTTAGTCCCATGGCTTGGGTTCTTCAAAATTTAAATACCAGCTTTTAAAAATCAATACAGAACATTACATGTTTACTGTGGAATAACACATGACTAAACTCTTGTAATTGCATCATTTACACGGTAATGCATGAACACCCTGGAGCTTACATGCCTAGATCTTTTTAACGTGTGTATTTTTTATGGAAACACAACTATTTGCAACTTATCACTTTGTTTTCTCTGAAGTTTTAGTTAAATAACCCGTATGACACCATTAATAATATTAATGTACACTTTAAAGTTTAGTGGCCCCAAGAGCATTCTTGTGTGTAAAGGTACCACAATTAATCCTTCCCCATTAGATGGACATGTAGGTTATTTCCAGTTTGGGTGCTATTATAAAGAACACTGAATTGGAATCTTTGTGCATGTCCTTGGCATTTCTTTCATAGTGTTTAGATGGTAGAATCTAAGGAGTAGGATGATAGCATGGTTTCTTAATGCTAATCAGGGAGAGAACTGGAATTCCTCTTTAGCTCCATGAAACTAGGACTCCCCTGTAGGAGTCTGGAATTCTGCAAGATTTGGGGCGGTATGTACCTTTCTCTGGGGTGAAGGTCTGTAGCTTTTAGGTGCCCCAAGAGGGCTGGGACACAAAATAGATCAGTGACTGTTGTCGACTCGGCTATGGCTCTCAGCACAGAGGTTTGAGTTCAGACCCCAGCTTCATGTGCCACTTACTCCTTAAGGGTCAGGTTTCCTCTGTGGGGATAGAGCACCTGTCTTAACAAAGTTGCTTGAAGGATTAAATGAGATGAGCGAGTTTGGTGTCCTGCTTGGCAAACAGTGGGCACTCAGGAGCTGGCCGTGATGACCCAGGCTGTCAGATCAGATGGAGGGTTTTGGCTTTTAATTACCCCTGCAATCTGCTCTCCCCAGAGCCCCTTAGCTTTTTCTTACCTTTATAAAGTAGTTCTTCCTGCCTCAAAGATATAGCTCCACTCCTCCTCCCCTAAATTTCCCCGGCAGCTATGCTGGATTGTGCTTGCCTCCACAGCCACATGCTGCCCTTTATCTCAATATTGTCATCTAATTGTCTTCTGGGTCCATTGTTCCCACTCAGATGTGAACTCTTCAAGGGCAGGATGGCTCCTAGCCTTCTCTGTATTCTGGGTCTAACGGGGTACCTGTGTCCAGTTACTAATGAGATGGAAAGGAAGAAATATTTGGGTCACATTGGAGATGCCAGTCTATGGTGTGTGACTGCACCTTCTCTGGCCTATGGGGGCTTCTTCAATGGCAGCTGTGTACAGGATGGATTAATGTGCAGAGGAGACTGGGAGGGGGTGTTAATCTGTCAGTCTGTCTTGCATCATGGTCTTGTTTGGAAATGAAGGGGACAACTGGGTGTTTTTTTATTTGTAAAGATGAARTCCCCCCACTGCCACAGACTGCACAGCTTTTAGATGTAGCAATAGGATTTGCCTGAGAGATGGCAGCAGCATTTTCATGACATGAATCCCAAGCATTTGGAATAGCCTAACAGATGGTTTCCTGTCACCTGTGTGAAGGCAGTTTCCACCAAGAAATTCAATGCATCAGTTGTTATGATCTCTCTCTGAATCCCACAATGACCATTTGTCATTGAGTTTTAAAGAACCCTGTTGTGATAGGGGAACATGTGGGATTCTATTGTTGTTGAGTTATTGTAAGTTCCCCAAAGAGTCTTTGTTTGAAAAAGAGAGAACCCATGCTGCTGGTGGCATTAGGGTCACCTCCTTCTGTGGCCACAGGTTTTGTTAGGAATGGAGGAGAGGTCTTTGATGGGTTTATGGTCAGGAGACTCAGGATGCTTAAAGCCTGCCTCAAACCAAGGGTACCCACCCTGAGAGGTCCTGAGGGAGGTGTGCACTGAAGAACACTGATGCGTGTGGAGCGGGGTCTCACCTGGCTGTTTGCCTGGTGGTGCATTAGAACTCTTAAGCTCTTGGGAAGGCTGGGCTGGAACAGATGGTTCATCCTCGGGGTTGACTGGGTCAAAGTCTATCATCAGCTGAATGTTGGAAGCAGCCCTAGTGTGGACATGTGATGAAAATGGTGATTGAGATATTCCCTAACATACAGTCGTCCTTGCCCATGAGGGTGGGTTGCGATCTGGGACTTACGGTCAAGGTCTTCGAGTCTGACTGGATCGGCTGTGGCTTTCCCCCTTGAGAGGTCTGCCAGCCTCTCCCTGCTTTGCAAGACATCAAAATATCTTTACACTACTTTGGCTGGGCACTTTGTGATGGTACTAGCTATGAGGCTGCCCCCACCTCCCTTACTTATGAACTGGAAAACTCAGTAATGCTAGAGTGAGAATGGGGTGCCTTGAGAGAGCTGGACATGAGCCCTCCTGGACTCGGCTTCTTGGCTGCACCACAGAGATGCTAAGGCTGTGCTTGAGGGATTATCAGGAGGCCCAGAGTCATACCCAGTGCCTGGTGCCGGCTCGCTCAGGCCCATCTGATTCCTTCCTGGTGGTGCAGTGCCCTTCAGTGCCCTGCTGTGGAGGATGGCTTTCAGGCCTTTATGTGCCACTGGCTCTTGGTGCCCAGGCGGCCAGCCAGCTAGGGTAGAGCGTGAGCTCGGTTGGCCATGCCGGGGCCTGTGAGTTGTAGGTGGGAACCGCGAGCCATGAAGCAAGCAGGCAAGCTCGGGATCTTCTCCCTGTGCTGCGGTGTTGGAGAACTTTTCCTTTTAGGAGTAGTTTTGAAAATTGTATGTGTGGGTGCAGTTTAATTATAGTCTCATTTTTCAAGTGCTGCTGTAGAAGGGTTTGTTTTTTTCTTTAGCCATGCGTCAGTTTCTTCAAAGAGCTCATCCCGGTCTGCAATTTCCAGGGTTCTGAAGTATTTTAAAAATAAAGTTGTTAGCCTCTTTGAAATCTGGGCTCATGCTTCCTTTCAAACAGCAAATGATGACATGCAGGAATAGAGCAGCACGTCTTTCGCCCAACAACATTCTGAGCTTTATTCTGTTTTCTTTTGTCATCCCCTTTCGTCCTCTCCCCGCCGCAGACAGTGGTTTTTTCAGCTCACTCGAGCACTCCTTTGCCCAGTAATCTTAGTTCTGAGAGTCTTTCCTAGGAAATAATTTAAATGCAGATAAAGCTGCATGCACAAAGCTGTTTATTTCATTTATTTATTAAAATGAAAATTTGGAGATGACCTAAATGTTGAATAGGGAACTGGCAAAAACTGCCAGACTATGACGTGTGTGCCTACAGTGGAATATTAGTGTGGCCATTAGGGCTGAGGATTCCAAAGCAAATTTAGTAGGAAAAATGCTTATAATAAAGTACAAAGTGAAAAACTTAAGTCACTACAGCATCATCTCTGCCCAAATGCATGGAAGAAAGAACCAAAGGCAGCCCAGTCACAGGTCTGTGGGCGTTCAGGAGGGCAGGGAGCTTTCTTGATTCTATTGTGCATTTCCTATAATGAGCATATGTTCTGATAGTATCAGAATTTTAGCGAAGGAAAAAGAATTACACCCAGTGATGCTATTGTGATTGCTTTTTGGATTCAGTGCTGTCCCCTGGAACCAGAGCCAGCCTAGTGATAAAGCAGGAATCTCTTGCCGCCACTGTGCTCTTGCGAATCCCACTTTCAACATCTGGCTTGTTGTAAAAAGTGTTTAAACCAACAAGACAATGCCCCTGCACATGTGTGAGCAAGAAATTATTAGGGATCACTTTTTAAAAAAATGGTTTCCTTCTTTCTTAATGTTATTTCTGCTTCTAGGAAAATCATCTGGAGTGGAGCTGAGTCCCCAGAATGAGCCGATGGAGAGGTGAGTTTAACATTTGTTAAGAAGAAGACTTTCTGGGACGTCTGTTTGGGTTTGCCTCTTTTTTTTTTTTTTTTTTTTTAATATTCTAGCTGCCTTCCATTCTATAAGTTTTCTGCTTCTTGTAACTAAGACATAAATACCTATAGAACTGACTATGGCCGAGCAAAGTGAAGAGGCCACTCAGGGTGTCCTGAACCCTCCATTCATTTGTTCCAGGTCACTCCTGGTATTTCTGTCAAGGATTTGAATCAGATGATATATTGCTTCTGTTGGCTCCTGGGGCCTGCAGGATGAAAGTTCCAGACTTCCTAACCGGGAATCTGAGCCCTCCTCAAGCTGACTGGTCCTCTCTGCTCCCCTCCACACTGTTCCCTTCTTGTGGTGTACCCCATGCTCTTCCATTGTCTCCCCCACCCCCACCATGGCTGTGCACGAACTGTGCCCCCTGCCTCCCTCCTCATGTAGTGTGAAAGGGGCTGGAGTGAACGTGAACCAGCCCTCCCTGTACCCTCCTCCACCACACCCGGGCCAGTTATTCCTGCTTCTTCTGCAGGAAGGCTCATTCTGAAGACTCTCCTGCTTTGTGTTGTGTGGATGCTCAAGAGCACCCCAGCCCTGTTCTGATAGTTTTGGTACTTGGCATGTAATTGCATTACAGCACTTGCCTTTCCACTTGGAAAAGACCACTTGGTGTGTCTTACCTTTCCACTCCCAGAGTCCTCAGAATGAGAGAGGAGCTGACCAGCATTGCAGGGTATTTGTACGTGTCAGCTGCTGCCTTAGGTGTTTCACACTTATTACTTTTGACCCTACAAAGTGAACGTTTTTATTCCCATTTTAGGGTGAGGAGGCTGACAAGTTGCCTGTTTGCCATTGAAAGGCAGAGCTAGGATTTGAACTTGGGTCTGTCAGAATTGAACACCTGTGCTCTTACGRTTACTCTACATTGTCTTTGGAAGGCAGTGAAAATATGTGAATTGTAGTCCTTTTTAGCTTGCCTCTGTGGCTGTAGCAAATGCCAAGGTCTCATCCTCCTGTTACTTGTAAAGGCTCTGAATGCTATTGACACTGGAGGGAACCTTCTTTCACTTTAAATGATGTGGCCCTTTGGACTCCTAGGGGTAAAATAAAGAAATAGAGACAGTCTGGAATGCTGAATTTTAGATTTTATTGTCATCACCAAGGCCATCAGCATCCTTACAGCAAGCACGTAGGAGGTTCACAACTCACTGGAGGACATTTTAATCAGGTCTTCTATGAATGTAAAAGATATACTTCTTCTCCTCCTGCAGTAGCGCCAGAGACCCCGCCCAGTTCACCCCACTACTTCCATCCTTAGGATGGCAATCACTTCCCACTGGCAGGACGTGGAGAGGGTATGGAAGACTCCATCTTAGCTGAGCTCTGCAGGATGAGAGTGAAGGGCCCAGGGCTGTTGGGAGAGTGTCCCTGTCTGAGGGGAGGGAAGCTTGGCCCCTTTGAGCAGGGATCCTGGGTCAAGGCCTGAGAGGCAGGCTGGGCCTGTTGGTCCTCAGAGGCTGTGACGACTGTCCCAACACTCTTCTGCAGGAGGCAGGGAGTTGATGAGCAGGGCAAGCTGGGGCTAGACTTGGCCAGATTCATCATTTTGGAAGCTGACGAGTTTGGAGAGCCTTTTAGCCTTCCTCAACCAGTGCTCACCCCTCTCCATTTCAGAGGATTTCTTCTTCTCCTTCTGTCCTCTCTTTGTCAGTGGCAGGCTCAGCCCTCACATGGGTCACTCCTAAGCTAATTAAACGGCTGCCCTTGGCCCACTCTGTACTCCTGTGGGCCCGCGGTGAGCCTGAGCATCCATCAGGCTGTCTGGGCAGAGCTGCATCTGGTGTTTACCTGCTAATGAATGCGTTGCAGCTTCGGAGTCCTCTGCTCTTGTCTGAGCTCATGAATAATGAGACTGTGGCCACTGACAAGAAGTAATGGGAAAGTTGGAGAGAAAGGAGCTTAAATCAAGGAGCTTATCTATAATGGAGATTCACAGGAGCTTTTCACAGTGTTCAGGCTGCTTTTCCTTGTGGCTTAGGTGGTCCTCAGGAAGTACTGGTTAATAACCACATGATTGCCAGAACCATGCCATTGGGGCCTGCGTGGGGACCTTGAGGGTTCTGAGATTTTTTAATCCATAATGCTGTTTCATGGCTTTGGGCCAGAATCCCACATTGTCCCGGGGCCTTGGAGCCAGACAGGCCTGGTTCAGATCTGGGAGGTGCCACTTACAAATGGGCACAGTGGCTGGTTTATGCTGAGCCACCGCCTTTCTGGCTCTATGGAGGACAGCACTCCCTTCCTCAGAGGGGGCCCGGGAGGCCCAGGCCAGACCCAGGCTGCTTCGTCAGAGTGGGCACTTGGGAAGCAGCTGCTGCGGACGCCTTTCCTCTCTTGTAAGCCAGACTTTGGGACAGCTACAATCCCTTCACTTTCCCTTCCTCCTTGGCTTCAGATTCAAGCACATGGAGCCCTTCTTGTTTTTAGAGTGTCATTGCTTAATGTAGTAAGGAAATGAAAGGGCTGACAGAAGTCACACACGGGACAGTTCCGAAGGGAAAGTAACCTCGAGGGTCCTGATGTCACAGCCCTGCTTGGGATCTTAGTGCAGGAAATGGTTTGTCTTTCAATCCCTACCATTAAGGACTGAGGAACACAACGTGGACTACCAGCGTCTTCTACCCGAATCTCCCGGGCCTTTCTCCTCTCATGTGCTGTCTGATGATGAAATATCCGAGAAGTCCTTCCTCTCCCGAGAACAGAAGCAAGACAGCGTGTCCGGGCAGACTTCAGTCATGGCAGACCATTTTTCTCAAGGTAAGCTAGCTTTATTAAGCCTCGTAAACGTGGCTGTGTTTAAACACTGACCCGCTGTCTCGCCCTAGTGGCTGGAGTGTGGTGACATTTGACTGTTTCTCAGATGAAAGGAGATCCTGTGAGGGCTGGAGCTGGTCATGGAGTGTCATTTATCACCAGAGAAAACCGTGGTGGTGAAAGTGTGGGTGACTGGGAAAGGGTGTGTGGTTTTGAGTGAAGACCTGCCCTGGACTTCCCGTTTCCTTGCTCCTGTAATCGTGGTGTGGAGAGCCCTGGAGCTGCAGCAGTGCGAGTTCGGTTAGTGCCCAGGGTTCCTGTCACCCCTCTGCACGCAGGCTCACTCTGAAGACTCTCTGCTTTGTGTTGTATGGATGCCTAAGAGCGCCCCAGCCCTGTTCCGATAGTTTTCTACAGTGCAAAGTTTGTGATTCTGTGAATCCACCTGTTTCTCTCTAGTGTGACCCTTGGCCCATTGGGCCAGGCCGTTGGCTTAGTGCATTCAGTCTGCTGTAGCAGAGTACCACAGCCTGAGTGGCTCACAAACAGCAGGAACTTGTTTCTCACAGTTCTGGAGGCTGGAAGTCCAAGATCAAGGTGCTAGCCAGCATGGCTGGGTTCTGGTGAGGGTCCCCTTCCAGGTGGCAGACTTCTCACTGTGTCCTCACATGGAGCCAAGAGAGCAAGAGAGCTGTCAGGGGTCTCTGTTTGGGGGCATTGATCCCATTCATGAGGGTTCCAGCCTCTTGATGTCATCCCCTCCCAAGGGCCACACCTCCTAATGCCATCACTTGAGAGCTGAAGGCTTTAGCAGATGACCTTGGAGACACAGACATTCAGCCCATAACACTCTTGTTCTGCCTTTGACCTTGGGCTGAGTTCAGCCAGCCTCCCTGGGAACCTGCTCTGATCTCCCGTTTGCTTTTTCTGTTCTTGTAGTCTCTCTCTTTGGGATAAGAAGTAGGGCTTTGTGTTTGTAATTCAGTTTGCTTCAGAGAGTCCAAGGATTATATAGACCAGACCAGATAGACTGGCCATCAAACTTCCTGCAAAGGGGCAGGAAGAAGATGTTTTAGGCTTTGCAGGGTCAAGGGCCCTGTGGCAGTTGTTCAGCTCTGCTGTCACACATACAAGCAGCCCCTGATGTGAGTGGCAGAGCTGTGTTCCTGTGAAACTGTGTTGATAGAATGGAGATGGGCTAGTATTGGCCACAGGCAGTGGTTTCCAGCCCTTTGGTGGTATAGATTCTAGTTGTCACAGTCTCTGGTCTCTCTTCTTCTCTGGGGGTTAGTAACAGTACCACCATGAGTTCTATAGCACAAACCAGACACTGGCACCTTCTTGCTAAAAGCTTTATTGATACTTGGTCACATAGGTCATTATTAAAAAAAATTTTTTTGAAGCCATATGTAAACAACAGAACTCTTTTTTTTTTCATATGCAATTTTACAGGGTGGCCCCATTCAATATGGCAAAGAAACCCAGTGGAGCCTTTGCCCAGTGGTGGCCTCTGAGGCTCCTCTAGGACTTTGAGGGCCCAGAGGAACATGGTATAGATATACCTGGAACATGATCTGTACAGTCTCAGTGTGTCTCAAAAACCAGCTGGAGTCCTCCAGCAGCCGGTTATTTGGACCTCATTTATTGGCATTTCTGCCAGTGTCCCTCTGCTATTTTTTTTGTAAGTTTCTGAGTAGTTAATTCCTCCTGGTCATTTCTGGCTATAGTCCTGCCTTTCCCTAGTTTTTAGGTCAGACTACAGATTGTTTCCCTGGCCTTAGTGTACCTTCTTCTGCGCTGTATCAACCCAGTGTGGGACTCAGTCCCTTTCCAAGAACCCCCGGGACCACTAATCTGCCTTTGGGCAGACTTGATTGAGCAGGGAGGAAGCAGAAGGAAGGAGGTTGTTGCCTTGCAACCCAAGTAATGTCGAGTGGCCTATGTGAGGTCCTGCTTCCTTAAAGCCCTCCTGCTGCGGGGCTGGAAGATGCCCTCCTCCTCTTGCCTACCCCCTCTTTCTCCCTTCGCCCTGTCTCCCTTACCTGGTTTTGTTTCCATCGTGGAGCTGTTAGGCCTCTCTTCCCCTGGTGATTCATGCCTGGGCTCTCTGGTGCCCTTTTGGTGGATCACCAGGCAGTTCTTGGATGGAGACAGTGTTCTCTGGAGCTGTGCTCATGTGTCACTGTTGTCCCTCTTGGCCAGCCCTTCTCCAGCCTTTTATTCTCTGCATCTGGTTTTCATTTTGTCATGCTAATAATCTGTGGAGAGAGAACATTTACTATATTTTCTTGTCTCACATTAAATTGCGTCTAAGCTTCCTGACATGCTGTTATATAATGTCATTTTTCATGGCTTTAGAATAGTCCATTGAATGACTGAATTGCAGTTTTCCTTATGTTTCCCTGTTGCTGAGTGTTTCAGCCATTTCCAGAATTTCACAATTGTGAACAGTGCCGCCGGGAGTATCTTTGAACATGAAGCTTTCCCCTTATTGGGGGCATTTTTTTTTTAACATTAATTCGATAAATTGGAACTACCAGGCAAAATGATACATGCAATTATTTATCTATCTATTTTTGGCAGTTGCTTCTTACAGGATTTATGGCTTTAAAGAGGTAGCATTTGTCAGAAGGATTTATTGTAAGAGATGTTTTTCTCCCATTTTGTGAAGGCCAGTGTAGTGTTTCCTTCTACCTTGGCTGCATAATTAATGATGGTGTCCAGTTCAACTGGGAGTGTTTTTTTAAGCCCCAGTGTTGTTTCGGCTCCTGGCCAGACTCAGTGGAAGCTGACTTGACTATGGCTGCAGAGCACTTACCAGCACAGAGCCAGCAGTGAGACTTGGTAAACCAGCGAAGAAGGTTGCAGTCAAAACCGTTAAGGTCCTGGCTGCCTCCAGCCTGTCTGGGCCCTGGAAGAAGATCTGCAGGGCAACCGGGCGGGGACAGGAGGTACAGTGCAGGGTGTGTCAGAGTGCGGTACACATGGAGTCCTTCAGAGCTGGGCTGCCGCGGGAGCTGCAGGCATCCACCAAATTACTTGCCACACTTCTGGCATTAATAGCAGATAGCTGAAGGTCTGGGAATTAAGTCATCTCATAAACATTCAAATTCATGGCAAAATTACTATTTAATTAGGAAAAGATCTGTAACATTGTGCTACTTTTAAATGAAAGCCATTTTGGAGGAATTAAAACTGGGTCATAACATTAGTATAATGTTTTAAAACAAACATTACGAAGACATACTGAGTGTACCCTAATTGATGAATTAAAGACATTAGTTTTGCCTTTGGATACTTAATGTGATTATGTTTTAAACACTGACTCTAGAAACCTATCTCTAGATTGAAACTGGGTTTCCTCCTTTCTTTGTTAAAGTGATGTTTCAGAGGATGAAAACATAATACATGCCCATTTTAGGAAATTCAGGAAACTTAGATCTTTATCTATTATTATTATCTTAAAACATAGTGTAAAATTTTTAAAAAATCAAAAATCTTTCATCCTACGGTAACTATTTTCAATATTCAGTGTATCACCTTCTTTTGTACATTTGTCTTTTCTGTTTGGGAAGGTTTTATATGGAGCTGTGATCATGCTGAATAGCCAATTTTGTTTGTGTTTTTAAAAATTTTCACATGATAATATGATAATGATAACCCTTTCATAATATAGTATTATACAGTTTTCATAACAATTTTAATAGCTATGTAATACTGAATCATAATGAATATACTACAGTTTATTCAACAATTTTAAGTATTTCAGTTTTTACTGTTGCATGCTGCCAAGATGAATATTTTCATGTGTTCTGGAAAATGCTTGCCAGCATCTCTGGCAATTTCTTGAAATTGAGCCCTAGAAGTAGAATTATTTGGTAAAAGACATTGAAACAAGCTTCTCTGAGGCTAATGATACAAAGAGCCCCAAAAGGTCATATGCATTTATACTTGCGCTAACAGGGTATATTCTTGAGATTACCCTTCTTGTAGCCATTCTCAGTGGCATTGTTTTGCTTTATTTTTCAGTCTTAAATTAATAAGTAATAACCAAATAAACACATTTCTTTAAAAAATTAGTCTCAAAAATATCTGGATTCATTATGAAGGTGGTTTAATCAACTCTCAGGCAATCTAAGCAGACCTGAAAGTGATCTGTTGGTTTCACCATAAGGAAGATTTTAAATTAATATTTGATATTGAAAAGAATAAAAGGCTACATTAGCGTTAGCATTAAAATTGTATGGAATATAATTTTTTCGTGTGATGTAAAATTGCATCCTATTGGAGGGCCATAGAGAACCATCACAGAGCTGTGTCTGTGGGCCACGGACAATAGCCCAGCTCCCCAAGCCCAGGGCAGGATTGCCAATTGCTATCTTAACACATCTGATACTGTTTGGAATTTCAAGATCCCTGCATAGTCTATAAATTATTCAATTTGTTGGGAGCTTCAGACTTTAAATTAAAAATGCCCTTCCTTCCTCTAGACTTACTAATGGAACACATACAGGAAATTCGAACTTTGAGAAAACGTTTAGAAGAATCTATTAAAACAAATGAGAAGCTGCGGAAACAGTTGGAACGGCAAGGGTCTGAGTTTGATCAAGGTAAGGAAGGACCTTCTCACAGGGCAGTGCAAACCCTGAGTGCTTCACATTTGCCCAACTGAGCAGTCTGTGGACAGTGATGTCTCCATCACTGCCCAAACCTGCCACCCCTGTTCTCCTGAATTGTGGTTGGCCCCTCACTGGACTTTGGAAGCTGTAGAGATGTAGATAGGTATGCAAGGGGAGAACAAGGCATATTTTGTCTTTTTGTCAATAACRGATTATAAAAATGTCAGCATTTTAGCAGTCTGGTAAATCTCCCATGCCAATCAAAAAGGTCACCAGTATTCCTGTATAACTATGGTTAGCTCTGAGTGAAATGATCTTCCATGAACACTAAACATATTTTCCCCATAGGTAAGACTTTCACATAGGTCAAAAATTAGCGCTTCCATTCTATCTGTTAACACTGTCCTCTCTGCCCCGCCCCACACTCTTGTTGTTTTTCTTCTGTATCTTTCTAGTGATTTTTAGAATGCAAATACAAATATATATTCTTATTCTCCCTCTCATCCAAAAGTTAACATACTGTGCATCCACTGTTCTGACCCATTTTTCATTGAACAGTGTATGTTGACTTCTGTCCTTATTCTGCAGAGAGAGCCCTCATTCCATGAAAAATGTACCCTTAGCAGCTGGTGTTCTGGGAAAGGCCCGCCTTTGTTTGGGTGGGGGCCGACCTGGGTGGAGGTCCTGACTCCTCTCTTTATTGCTTCATGGCTTTGGGCAGCTCACCCACCTCCCCACCTCCCAGCCTCAGTTATTTCACAAAATTGAGTCACTGCAAGATGAGATGAGCAGTGCCCTGAGTAGGCTCTGCTTGTGCCTCATTCACTAAGTGGCTGCTGTCACCATTAGTATCAGTGTTATTTACTATTTTATTTATTTCATAACATGACCAGTTTAACATTTAAACTGGTCCAGTGAGCATGGGCCCTAATGTCATTCCCATTTTTAGAGGTGAGATTACTGACTTCAAGATAGTGCTTGATAGCGGCACTCAGTCCCCCGTCCCCTAGTCTACTTATCCTTCCTCAATCACCCACTGAGGCCATCGGTTAAGAAGGACATCTTTTCAAAAGTACTTTGTATGCTCCAGTTCTCAAGGTAAACAGTGGTTCTATTACTTCTCCCTTTCCTTCCCCCCATTCACTCCGCCCCCACACTGCCTCCTCCCCTTCTGGCCCCCAAGGAAATTGATTATGAGTTATTAGTCATATCAAACTCAGGAAAGAAATACACGCCTGGGCCCTTCACATTTACTCTTGGTAATGCTTGAATTAGATTCATTTTGTTTTACATTTTCCCTGGCAAATCCAATTATAGAATTATTTGGGGGCTCAAATGGCCACCAGCTACAATGGAGCAGGCAATTGCTCTAGAGAGTAATTCCCTCTGATGGGAAGGTTTACAAAAATGCATTCATAAAGTATTTACGCTGGTGGAAAGACATGCTGTTCTCACCATGTTGTCACTGTCTCTGACAAGACAAAGAAATAAAAGGGGCCCCGCCTTCCCCTGCTGTGAAATGTTCATCTTGGGAGGAGGTTTGAGAAAGGCAGGAGTCCTTACAACCTTGAGGTGGAAGTTTCTACATGCCAACATCCGATGCAGCAGAGCTTCCAGATGCTGCTCGTTATCCAGGTTTTCTGTAATGATGACATTCAGAGGAAGAACTGGCCTCCTGGTCTCAAAGTGCACCCTGCTAGTTCCGGTTTGACTCTCAGATTTAGACTGTTGGGAACTGGTCCATGGCCTGGCTGTTCCTTTGGAAAGCAACTGCCTTGACTTGGGTCACTGTAGACCTGGGTAGTTTTTCCTGCTCATTCATATTACTCTTCAGTCCTGTTTTGGCTCCAGCCTATCATTAATCGTGCTATTACTACAAATGGTAATAGCAGTAACTGTAACAGTACCAGTCACTTTTATTGTGCTAATGAAGACTGAGGGACCTTATGTGACTTGCCTGAGGTCTTGTGGTTATTAAGAAGCCAGAGCCATAGTTCAACCCAGGTGTCTCTGAAACAGCACCAGAGTTCCTGGGGGAGAGTGGAGAAAGATGGTGGAGAGAGATGTTTGTGAATTAAAAGGTTGGTCAGTGAAAAATTAGCAGGAAAGGAGGTTGTACTGCAGAGAGGGGCGGGCACACGCCTCTCGAGAGCTCAGTGTCCTTCCTTATGAGGAGTGAGAGCGTTAGAGGTCATCACTTGTACACCAGGATGTTTTCCATTGCAGATAGCAAAATATGGGTAAAAACTGGTGTAAATGATGGGGGTTATGGGGGTTATGTTTCTTACACAAGAGATCCAGAGGCAAGTGGTTCTGAGGCAGGGGTTATGACTCAGTGACATCAACACTTAGAGATGGTGTCTGTGGTAACTATGGTGGTTATGAGGTTCCCATTCTCTGTGGATGGTGTATGAAGCATGGAAGGAAAGAGACTCCAGTCTTTACTCTGTCTTCCTTTTGTAGTAAGGGGAAGTCTGCCCTGAAGCCTCTGAAGGTCTCGTTGGCCAGCAGAGACCCATGACCATGTCTGGCTTCAGGGTAGCTGGGCAAGCAGGGGCTGGCATTGGGTTGCAGCGTAGCAAGTGGACTCAGTATGGAAGCCATGTGGACGAGGTGCCCTGCACACAGTAGGTGCTCTCCCGAGGGAGCATTGTAGTGGTGCAGACAAAGAAGCGCCTGGCATGGGGAGTGTCATCTAAGCTGGATGTAGAAGAAGGGTAGGAGTTCAGCAGTGGACGACAACATGGTGAAATCTTCACAGTGAGGAGTAGCCTTCTCACAGTTTGCCTAGCTTTTGACCCTGACCTTTATAGCATATACTCAGAGACTGTGAATTTAGCTAAGAATTGAAGGTGTCTTTGTCAGGCAAAGAAGGAACCTCATTCTGCAAGGGGAGTGACCATATGGTGTGCCTGGGGCCCAGAAGTGGCCCCGTTTGACTGCATTTAAGGGCCTTAAGGTTCTGAATGGAGAGGGGTGCAGTGTGCCAGGAGACTGGGAAGTTTGGACCTTGTGTTTTGATTGTCTTTTGCAGTACTGGGCCATTAGAGGTTTTTGAGCAGAGAATTACAAGAAAGGATTGTATTTAGGATGACAACACCATGGGCAGAGGGTAGGGCGGCCAGGTCAGAGCAAAGCCTGAGGCCTGAAGGGTGGGGACAGGAGAGACACTTGGGTGCTTGGCATCTTGGGAAAGCAGCAGCAGCGTGTCTGGGCTCAGACCGGGTCTTGTGGTGGTAGTGCCCCTGAGGCAGGGCACAGGTAAGAGAGCGGTGAAGGGGGCAGTTCAGCAGGGTGGAGGCCCAGCAGACCCTGGGTGCGTGAGTTTGCACTTTGGGAGGTTGAGACTGTCACCCACTCACCCACCCCGTCCCTGGCTCCTGGTGCGTTCACCTCAGGGGTGGTAAGGCCTGGGTCCCCTCCTGCCACCTTTTCAGACTCACTCTCATTTCCCTTTGGGCTCTGAAATAACTTGGATGCTTCCCAGGGCTGATTTTCACTGCATGTTTTGTTTCCTCAGTGTTCAGAACTCCTTTCCAGGAAGTTCTATCCATACTGACTTGGAGATGGTCCCTGAAGTGCTTCTGCTTGTATTTTAATAGGGGCTACAAACATTTTGGCTTATGGTTCAGAGCTGCACAATTCTCTCACCTCAGAGATTAATTTCCTGAGGAAGCAGAACCAGACGCTCAATGYGATGCTCCTGAAGGGGTCTCAAGGTAAGAAATAGAGGAGCTGCCTGCAGCCAGGGCCCCAAAGCCTCCATGCCAGGCAAAGAATGCAGGTGTTGGAGTTGGAGCAACCTAGGTTGAGTCCTGTGGCCCTGTGACAGCTTTACAGGGTGTCATTGTCACAACAGTCCTGTGAGATATTCCTATGTTGTAGTTGAGAAAAATGTGGTACAGGAAGGTTAGGGGATACCTCATAGGGCTGTTGTGACAATCAAATTGCACAAAGCTCTCAACACAGTGTCTTTAAGGGTCTCAGCAAACGTTACTGTATTTCCTTGTCACTCATGCCCTCTACACAGCCACCTCTCATTTGTCTTGGTTCCCAGTGGAAGAGAAAAGGGCTGGGAATGGTTTACTCAACCAGAGATTTCCAACAACCAGCAGAGTTTCATCCAGCGGTTCTTAAAAAGACCCTCTTTTAGTTCTTTCTATATGGAGCTTAGCTCCTAAGAACCTGCCTTATGCTACATTTTAGTGCTTAAAACAATTTTGGAACGAGATATTAGTATCCCTGTTTTCCACAAAAGAAACGAAGGCCTAGGGAATTGCCCTGCCAGTGGTCACAGAGCTAGACGGTGGTTGGGGCTGGAACTTGGGCCAGCTTACCTGCTTTCCCCAGAGGATACTGATGTGATTTGGGTTTTAGAAATGAAGTCGGGGCTTTGGAATCATTCATTCTGCAGACATCCCCCAACTCCAGTTCTGAGTCAGGGCCGATTACAGAAATCAGTGAGTCCTGGTCCTTCTCTCAGGCTCTTGGGGTCTAATGGGAGAGACATCCAGACATCCCACAGCAGGCCAGCATGAGGAATGGCCCTGATGAAGCTGGTGCAGGGAGACAGGACCCCGAGAGACTGGTCATCAAGAGCCTAGTCTAGAAGGATGAGGAGGGGTTAGCCAGGGTAGCTCAGGGTAGAGAACCAGGACCTTTGAAATGGAAGGGAGAGAGCAGGTCCAGCCCCGCTCAGAGGTGAGGAGCATACAGGCTGGCCAGGAATGATGGACAGCTGTGCCTGCCTCTGCCACTTACTGGCAGTGTGGCTGCAGGGAAGTCTTAACCTCATTGATCCCCAATTTCCTGCTTGTAAGATGGCAGAACAGTAGTGCCTCCCTCAGAGGTTTGCAGTGAAGGTTAACTATGTTGGTGTGTGCGGGTCTTTACGTGACACCTGTGCAGTATGCCGTGCCATGGCCGTCCCACCATCCCTCTGCTCACCCCTCACCCATATGGGTTCTTTCAACTCCAGCCTGCGTACAAAACCCTGTGCTGACCCTTTTCTTCAGCACAGCACATGTGAGGAAGCTGAGACACAGAGACGTAGAGACCCTTGCTCAGGGTCCTGTAGTCAGTAAATGAAGGAGCAACCCTTGAACCCACCACCCTGCCCCCAGCACCCTGCTCTGAGCCTCTTTGTCTTCTGCACCTCTGGAGAGGGTTTTGCACCTCAGGAGAGTTAAGGCCCTCACAGAGGGTCCATTCTGCACAGCTCTGCTGGCCTGTTGGGAGGCAGGGAAGGCCGCGCCCTTTCCATACCTGCCGCCAGAGTTTGGGGCCCTGCTTCTTTCTTTCTAGTTTCTACACAGTTGTGCTCTATGCAAGAAAAGTAACCAGGTTTGCAGGGCCCATTATTTAATAGAAAATTAAACAGGCCCATTTTATGCCAGTGACGTTTAATCTGCAGCCTTGATGTTGACAGATTTATCTGCCCAAAATGCATAAGATAATTGGAACACCAAAATCATAAATGTCAGATTAAATCTCATTCCTTTTTGTATTCTTGGAGTGCTCAAACTGAAGTGCTCTATCTGCGTAATAAGGTTGGAAAAAAACAAATGGTGTCCCTTCTCAGTGGCACTTTTTGGTGTTTGCAGATAAACAGAAAGAGAATGAAAAATTACGAGAGTCCCTCTCCGGGAACGTGGCGAGCCTGGAGCGCCTGCAGCAGGAGCATGCCTCTGTGCGGGGAGAAAACGAGAGGCTGCGGAAGGAAGTCGGCGAGAGGGACAGGCTCAACCAGCAGCTGAGCCAGGAGCTGGACAGGTGGGGCCTGGTTCCCCGCCCTGATGGCCCCCGCAGCCTGGCTCTGGGGGTGCAGTCCCAGGGTGAGGCACACTAGCCTCCCTCCTAATGTGCAGGGATGGACAGAAGCATGCCATATATCTGGTGGGCGTGAAATATGGGGAATGATCATCTAAAGAAAGGAGGGGTGGGGTGGGCTGTTGTTCTCCATCTTTCCATCTCTGTAAAGGTGCCCTTTGGGTGGAGAGCCCCAAGGAGGGTGWGATACTGCAACCCTCTTGGGAAGTTGTTTGGCAGAGGGCACCCGGCCCGAGGCAAACAGGGGGCCTGTTCATCTGGAGGAGAGGGCGTGGTAGGGGCAGAGGGCATGAGGTGGCCAGAATCACATAAGGCCTCCTAGCTGCAGAAGGATTTTGGTTTTTACTCTGAGTGGCATAGGAAGCCACTGGGAGATTCCCAGCAGAGGAGTGACATTTTCAAAGGATCCTATTGCTCCCTCTTTTGCGGTTTTCCCCTTAGACTCACATCCTGTGTTTTCAGTTGTTCGTGTTGGCTCCCAGCAGTGCCCTGCTCCTTCAGAGCTCCCATCACCACCTTGGCTGCCCACGCTGGGTGGTGATGTAGATAATCCGATGTCTTTGCCGGCAGGCGGTCCCAGTGTAGGTCCTAGCTCCGCTCTGAGCTGTGCACCCCTGGGTAGGGGACACAACCTTTTGAACTTAACCTCCTCTTGTCTCTGAATCGAGGATTACAGAGCACATTCCTTCCAGGGTGTCTGTGAAGATTATAGGAAAGAGGGTAAAGGGCTGGACACGGGGCCCTTGGGAAACAGATCTGCAGTGCAGTTCTTAAACCATGCTGTTTTTGTCCTCACTCTTCTGGCCGAGTAGCGTGGGGGATGAGTAAGCCACCTTGGAGTGCAGTTAACCTCTCCTCCCCACGGTGGGCGTTGCAGGGCACAGAAGGAGGTGAAGTGGAGGCAGCAGCTGCTCTCACAGAACCACAAGTTGCTCCAGTCTCTCCGCGTGGAGCTGAAGGTGTATGTGAGGCTGGACGAGGAGCACCAGAGGCTACGGCAAGGTACTGGGCCTTGGGGACCAGGCTCTTTATGTCCCAGAGCTGTGAGCTCACGGGCACAGCCTGTGGCAGGAGCAGCAGGCCAGGGCTCTGGCTCCATGCCCTTTCTCCAAATGCTGTCATCAGACTCTGCGTGACCCTGGGGTAAACGTGGTTTTTTTGAAGCCAGCTCTTTGGCCTACTTCTCTTAAATAGGAGCAGGAAACATGGAAGGACATAGGCTCAGGCATCTGCCAGCTCAGTTCTAGAGTGTCACTCCCTCGACCTGGCTGTGTGTCCTACAGCAGGTCACCTCACCCTTTGGGCCTATTCCTGCCTTGGGAAACATGTCTGTTAAAATCCACCGTGTGGAGTTGTAAAAGTTGAACAGATCATGTGTTGAAGCGCCCTAACATACTCCCCGACACACAGTAGACGCTTAAGAAATAACTTTCATTACAGGTTTCCTGCTAGTGTGTGTTTCTTTTTGCCCGTTCATTCAGCAAACAGTTACAGTGCCTACCATGTGCTGGACCTTGTTGGCCCTGGTCTTGTCTGTATTTCAAGAGAGATACCAGATCAGAGTGACTCAAGTATAAGGTCTAATGTTTCAGAATCAATTTTGAGGTGAAGTGGGATTTTTTTAAACTAATTTTCCAGATGGTTTCTCCCTATTGAAAGTTTATCTAGAAAAGGGTCATCTCACAGCTTTCATTTCTTCTCAAGTTGCTTCTCTTATTCTTGCTGTTGTGCCTTTTTAATATACTGCGGCTCTTAAAATCATCCCCTTTCATTCTATAATTCCAGCCCAAATAGATTTTATTACTACTAGACATAATTTCAGGGTTTGGTGTGCAATTTGCTAGGCTTTTATGGCCAGAAGTGAAAATTAATTTCCAGCTCTTATTTAGCCTGTGGAATAGCAGCAATTAAGTCAGCCAATATTTTTGTTTTTAAAGTCGAGTTGTTATTTTAAATTGTACCTAGTTCTCAGTAAGGGGGAGGTCGATGGTGGTGTGCGGATTGAAAATGCCATTGAGTTCCTTTGATGGCTGACCCTTTATTTGTGGAAGATGTCAAGACTTCCCTCTGCACATGTCCACAGAGACTGGAGCAGAGGCACCAGAAGGCTGGAAGGGGCAGGAGCTTCTCAGTGACCTGCACGACCTCCTGACGGAGATCCAGGCTCTGCGGGCACAGTTGGAAGGGGGCATCAAAACCAATAGCACCTTACAGAGCAAGCTGGAGGAGCAGCTGGCACAGGGGGAGAAGAAGGCCCAGGAAGGAGACCTCAGTCTGGCTGTCCAAGCCCCGGGTGTCCCCGATTGGACCCTACAGCTAGACAAACACGGTATGGCATCTGCACTTCTGTGTATTATGTGTGAACTTCTGAGTGATGCCCCTGCCCACGGAGATGTCCTTCCATGGACAGTAGATTCACTGCACCCTCGGAGCCCGGCGCCTGACCGCTAATTAACTGTTACCTCTGGCACAATGGCATACTCTGGGTGTCTTGGTTCTCTGGAAGTGGAGCTTGGGCTTCTAGCCACCCTGATGGCCTCCAGTCTTGTTCCCTCGTATCTATTTCGTCCTGCCCATTCCACTCRGAGGCTGAGAAACCTCTTTAGTCCTCTTGTTACCCTTCAAAGAGAACCCAGCCTCTTACTCTGACTTGCAGTGCCCTCTAGGTCTGGGAAGCCTCCTGGTAGGGAACACCTGGGCCTGTTTTGCGTTTGCTGGTGGCCTGTCAGCCCTGGAGAGTTTGTGAGGGGAGCAGAGAGAGGACCAGACAGACATTCCTGCCCCAGCCCAGCCGAACCCAGGACAAACCAGCAAGTGGTCGACTCAGTGCCCCTGACCAGGCAATCCCTTTTACTGTGTAGACAAAGGAATTGGAGCTGAGAGTGACATGGCACTATTCATTTCAGCTCTCAGTCCAGAGCTGTTCCTGACCCCACCCGACCTGGAGCCTCAGGTGCCTGGAGATTGTCATTCTGATGCCCATAAGGTGACTGTGCGTGTTCAGTGGAGCGAGGAATATTGACATGCTTTATAGGCAAGGATTGTGCAAAAGTTTATCATCACTTAGATTGAGAATCAAGTCTATTGCCTTTAATTTTGAAAGTTCAGATGTCTTAAGGAGCACCCAGTCAGCTTTAGCACCGTCATTGATTGGTTCATTGATTTCTTCTTGATAAGGATCTTAAAACTTTAACCAAAAAGATGATGTAACAATATAAGGAAAAAAGGTTGGGAAAAGAATTCTTCGCATATTTTTCTTCATTTGTGGTGTGCGGATATTTTTCTTCAGGCTTGAGTTTATATTGTTCAAATTGTTTTTTGTACCATTTTTCTGTTTGGGGGCTTTTTTGTACATTTTGTTTTTTAGCAGTGCTGGGGATGGAACCCAGGGCTGTGGTCTTGGATTAAAGTGATTCTTCCCAGGGGCTGACTTCGTGGAGCTGTCCTCCTGGCTTCCTGGGCCTGGAAACCATAGTGCACCCTTGGCAGGGATGGAGGAAGCATGGATGGGGAATCCTGAGACCTAGACACCAACCTTGCTGGGTTATGCTGCCCTGTGGCCTCCCTGTCCCTGAAGTCTGAATTACAGTGCCAGCCTGCCTGTTAGGCTTTTGAGAGCTTAACAGCTTTCTGGATGTAAAAGTGCATTCCAAGTTATGAAGTGTTGCTCGGATCGTCTTGAGCACCTGTTGATTTTGCCTTCTTATGGTGTTTGAGTGTGTCACCCCCATATTCTGCAGGCCGCCCCCTCTCTCTCAGGTTACTGCAGCAGCCTTCAAGCTTGCTCCTCCAGGACCAAACTGAGATCTCAGCCAGGCGCTGCCCAGCCTGATGCCCCTGAGTAGGTCCCCCAGCCTTCCTGGTTCTGGCCTTGCACCCTCCTGTGTCTTCCCGGCATCAAGGCCTTGGCCACAGGACCTGCTTATTTCTCCCCGAATGACAGTTCACATCCTTGTGAGCTTGCTTGCACCTGCCTGCTTCCCCCTCTGCCTGGCATTTTTTCCCTCCTTCCCAGGGATCAGTCACAGTGGTCTTGAAACATAACACAGGTATCAGCCTTTGGGAAGCCATGCTGGGGTCAGCACCGTCCCCCAGCGCCCACAGCCCTGTGCTTCCCTCCTCCATCCTGAGCACACCGAGACAAAACTGCCTGTTTCTTGTCTGACAAGAGTGTTTTCCCAGGAAGGGGCTGGGCCCAGTCACTCTTTCTCTGTTGTTCTGACCAGGTCCAGTAGGACTGATGTCCAGGGAGAATTTGAATGAATGCTGTGTTTCTGAACAAATGTGTTTGGATGAGACACTGTACTCTCAGTCACTTCTTTCTCAACCATGGAAGGCAGTGAAACAGTTTATTTCCTTCTCTTGTTTTGCATGTTACAGATGATAACAAATGTCCCCTGGCAAGCAGTAATTCCTCTGACCTTGAGTCCACCCGGGCTGTGATGCCAAAGTCAGGTACACAATTGAAGTCTGAGTAACTGAAGCAGCATGGGGTGTGGCAGTGGTATTTTTAAAATGAATCAAAGGGGGTCCCAACTAGGTGTTTGGCAGGGGTTTGGGGATCAGCATGTAAGCTCTGAACACAGGGTGCTACCAAGTAGATTGATGTTCCACTTCTCATCTTGCAGCTTCAGAGACTCCTCCACTCTCTGGAAATGACATAGACTCCTTCTCCTGCATCAGTGGCAGCTCTGTAACCAGCACCCCTTGCCTGCCCCGCATGGCTGCTCGCCTGTGGGCCAGCAGGAGTGGCCGCCACATCCTGGGCCTGATCGAGGACTATGATGCATTGTGTGAGCAGATCCACCAGGGACAGAGGCTCCTTGCTGAGATGGACATGCAAACCCAAGAGGCTTCCAGCCCCATGGGTCAAGAGCTGAGGACAAAGGTAATCTGGCTGCTAGAGTAGGGGAAGGGAGGTGCTCACTGGAGCAGTGAGTGGGAAGGACTGACTGGGGGTGCTTGGAGACAAGTGCACAGTTGTCCTCAGTGGGGCTCTAAAAAGAGGGACCAGAAGGTGTCGGCCAAGAAAGGTCAGAGTCAGGTCCTGTGTGGGAAACTGTTGGTGGCTGCGGGAGGACATCTGGTTGAGGTTTGTACCCTGCGTTATTGTGGCTACTCCATAGGGAACTGCTGCTCTGTGCCCCTGTCGGCCTGTCTGTCGAGTCTCATCCAGTCTTCTGTCCCTCTGTGTGTCCAGCTGTTCATCTAGCTAGTCTCCCTCCCTGTGTCCAGCCAGCCAGTGTGCTCAGGTTCTGAGGATCCTGTGGAGAAGGTGGAGGGCCTCATCCTCTTGAGGCAGACCCCACTTTACTGCACTTACCATACCATGCTAGCTCACCCCACACCTCCCCAGCTCATACCTCGCTGTCTCCCAGTGTCATACCACACTACGCCATATCACAACATGCCATCCCCCAGTGTCACACTACACCATGCCACATCATCTCCCAGTGTCACACCACACCACACTATCACACTACATCCCCAGTGTCATACCACACCACATCACACCACGCTGTCCTCCAGTGTCACACCACACCATGCCACATCATCTCCCGGTGTCATGCCACACCACACTATATCACACTTGTCCCCCAGTGTCATACCATACCACACCATGTCACACCACACCATCCCCTGGTGTCACGCCACATCATACTGTACCATACTATACCATGGCACACCATACCCCAGTATCGTGCCACATAGCATACTATGCCATACCACGTCATACTGTGCCACACCACACCACGTCATACTGCACCACACCACACCATAATTTCTACAACTGCCTTGTGATGAGCTTGCCAGTTTGAGAAACCCTACATCCAACCCAGGATGGTTGGCGGCTCCATCTCTTCCCCCATAGCTTTCTGTATGACATTTTATTTCCTCACCACAACCCTGGGAAGCAGTGATGTCATGCCCACACTTTAGAGATGCTGAGAAGTAGCTTGGAGTGGTTCACATCTGAACTCAGCTCCCTGTCCTCCAGGGTACTCGTTTCCCATGTTGTAGGACAGCATTAGTCACCAGACTTACCTGTGCAGAAGCTGCCACTTCTGCCTGGACAGAGGCTCTGAGGAGCTCTGGTCACGGGCTAACTTCTGCCTGCCTGCCCAATGGCATGTTCCCTCTCCTGCCATGTGTCCTACTCTGAGTGGGCTAGGCTTATGTGCCATCCCCGCCTGCTTTCCACAGCCTGTCTCCAGTCCAGGTTCCCTCCGTCCTGGAACCCCCTCAGCCTCTTTCACCTCCCTCTTCCCGCGCCCCATCCCGCTGGACTCCTCCCCAACTTGTTGCCTTTTGTCCAGACCCAGCTGTTGGGCCTGTGCTTCCTCACTCACCTCCTCCAAGGCTTGGGGACAGGTACACCCCCACCCGCAAGCTGGACCAGACCCCAAGCTTGGGTCACATTCCTGATCTCTCTTCCTGGGTCTTTACTGGAGATGCCTGAGCCCCCTGCTTCCCCATACCTGATTTGACTTTTTAGTTTTGTTGTATTATAAAAATCAATTTTGCCTTTTATGTTCCACTAGACAGATGAACTCTTGGAGAACAGGGAGAGGGGCTGCTTTATTCTGCTTTATTTGTCCATCACCTGGCACAAGACCAATGTGCTTGCTGAATATTTGTTGAATAAATTAATAGATATTAATAAGATGCTTTTTCTTTTCTGATTGAAATTTTTATTGCACAAGAGCTAGAAATTATAGAAAAGCATAAAAACATTTATTAATACGCTACCCCTGAAGGTCAGCACTTACAATTTTGATGTGTACTTCTAGGACATTCAAAAGTTTATCAAACCTACACTTAACTGTGAGTTCCACATGTTTCACTAACAAGAGGTTGATGCTTTTTCCATCTCATTCGGTTTTTCCTCACCCTTGACTTTTATTGGCGGCCATATCAGCTCATGTGTGGCTGGACCTTCACTTATTTTCACTTGCACTGTTTGTTGGACATATAATTGTGACTGGCAAGCATCCTCATTCAGAAACAGTTTTTATTATTTTAAATTGTATTTTTGATTAGGTACGAAATGAAGTTACTAGTTCAAAATGTGTGCACTTTTTAGGGCTCTTAATAACCATTGCTACATTGCTTCCCAAAGGATCACATCTGTTTGAGTACCCATYTCACCACCCACACTTGTCTTCTTTGAGTATTTTTATTTATAATGATTTTTTGTTAATTTGATAACTAAAAAAGTATACATGGTTTTATTTTTATATTCATTTCTTATAAAGACATGCTGTATTTTCTTTTCTTTTTTGTGTTTTTCCATTTCTGCGTCACATTCTTGTTTTCTCATGCCCTTGACTCTGCCATGTGAGTTTCCTTCTGCTGACAGTGAGGGTGAGAGACTTTAAAAGTCCCCAGCACTGTTCCCAGACCAGTGCAGCCGATGCCAAACTGTCCCTGTTGCTGCACTTGCTGTCCGTGTCATTTGCTCTGGAGCATCTCCGGGGGCTGCAGCATACGTGACATTTTATTTCCTCCTCACCACAACCCGGTGAAGCCCTGCAGCCTGGAGATTTATGCTGCCTGTCAGAGCTTGCTGTCCATGATCTCAGGACCACACGTAACGCTCTCTCATCCCTCACCCCGTGTAGGGTCTGCACTTGGTGCCCCTGAGCAAGTTTGTCTCCAGCGTGAGCACGGCCAGGCTGATCCTAGAAGAGGCCTCGAGGTTGCTGAAGCTCCTTTGGAGAGTCTCACTCCCCACAGATGGCCAGTGTACCCTTCACTGTGGGCAGGTAGGTGGTGACATTCTTCAGAGGTTCAAGGGTGCCCCTGGGCCTGTGTCTCAGTCCCTTCCTTAGCCCAGCCCAGGAGCAGCCCCAGTGGCTCTCATTTGGTGTGGGGAAGTGTCAGAGGGAGGAAAGGCACCAGGTTGGTTACGTTTTTGCTGTATCTGGGCTGCTGACTGACCTCCAGCACCCGAGAGTTCAGGCTGCAGCGGCTGCCCACGTCCAGCACACTCCATATACGAGGAACTGGGGCCCAGGCATTGAGTGTTTCATCAGGGTTACAGAGCTGGTTTGAAACATATGGACCTGAACCCGGAGCTGTTCTTTCATTTTGTAGGCATTGAGTTCTGACTTGTTCTCACGGGCCTTCGGGTTCTCTCTTCATAGTCCCTTTCACATTATATGTCTTTGCCTGCACCCTCCACTCCCATTAATGGCTTTCCTTGTTATGAGTAGGCCTTTTTCAAATCTGCCTAACTGCTAGGGAGCAGTGGATCCATGCCAGCAGCCAGGCAGGTGGAGCCCTATCTGTTTCCCTCTGGGGACTGCATGTGTATTGTGACAGGGTGAGCAGCCAGCCTGGCTCCCAGGGGAACCTCCCTGGGAAAGCCACGTGCAGGTAAAGGAGGTTGGGACTCCCAGCCGGGTGGTCTGATGCTGCTTCCCCCTTTTGCCTCTCCTGTGAATGTGCTACAGGCCAGCAGGGAGGCAGAAAGGAAATTTGATTTTCTCTCTGAATTCCACCCCACTGGCAGCTCTTAGATGGGTTTATTGTGGTTCTGGAGCAGCCCGTGAGCAGCCCTCTTCCTCAAGGTTCCATGAGGAACCTGTCCTGAGGCTTCCTTGTTAGGTTCCCTGTGGAGAGTGTGGGCGTGCTGAGCTCAGGGAAGCTCATAAACACTCACTGTTCCATAAAGTCATTTTTGCCCACTTCAGCCCATGGGGTGTGGGGTGGAAGGCAAGTGTCAGGGGGATGGTGGGACCCACTGGTCCTAGCCCACAGCCTTTTCTTACTCTGACTGCCTGGATGTCCCTTGCTGCCTGCCGACTCCCACCTTCTCCTCTTAGCTTAAATGTTACCCCTAGGTGAGAGAGGGCTCCCAGTCACTCAGTCATAGCGTCTTCCTCTGTTTCTTCATAGCTTTTGACACAAAAGATAATTACTTGGTTTGTTTCAATGTCTGCCTTCCTCTGCTTTCCTTCAGGGGAACATATGTTTTGTTCATGATTTTGAATAAATGTATGATTGAATGATTTTTCCCATATAACCAAACTATTACCTGTCCCTTATGAATTTTGAAAGCAAACATGTCTGAACCAAACAGTTGACCCACAATGCAGTGGTTTTGTCCTTAGCACATAAAAGTAGTGACTTCTTGTTAAATAGACAGAATGCAGTTCATATATATATATATATATATATATATATATATATATATATATATGACATACATGTTATAAATGCACACAAAATTGTAGCCGTGTCGATTTTCTCCCACTTCTAGATCAGTCCAGCGACTGGTTGGTGCTCGAGGTGTTTTGTCCTTCGTTTCTCAGATAACTGATTATATTCACTCTAGTGTCACAGAATTTCAGAGTAGGACAAGGACTTAGAGATGCTCCATTGTGGCTGCTGGTTGCTAGTGTACACAGACCCCTGTGTGGTGTTAAATTGCCTCTCACCACTATTCTGTCACTGCCTATGTTTGACACGGTGCCTTTTGCCTGGTGTGAAGCGTGTGTGTAAAGCAGACTTCTACATCTTCAGCAGCCCGGTGGCTTTTGCTCCCTGCTATTTTCTCTGAGAATCATTGATTTGCCTTTTGCATTTACTGTACCGTCCCATTCAGTCCTGTGGACTGCTCTGAAAAGCATGCATCCCAGGCATGAGTTGACCTAGGAAAGTTGTTGGAGCGATATAAATACATAGGCTCATGCTTATGAGTTTTTTAAATGAAGGAAAAGCAATAACAGGCTATGTGTTGGCATTTTGGCAGAGATTGGAAGGGCAGAGATAAAGTAGATTTCTCTGAATAGAGCTTGTTTTATACAGTTGACTTCCAAACTATATCAATAGTTAACATAATTATAAATAAAATTTGTCAAAATGGGGAAAATAGACATTTCTAAAAATTAATGGTATGGAATCAATTAACCTCACCACGGATGGCACTGGAGGCATGGTCACACAAAGAACATTTCAGTGACGGAAACAGTGATTTGACCATACATTCCTAGCAGGAATATTTTACAGGCAAGAAAAACTGCCCAAAAGTTTTTTTAAGATACAAACGGTTTTCAGTGGTTAGTAATAGTATTGGTATTAATATTCTGAAACGAATGTATTTCTATTGTAAAACAACTCTTAAGTATCATTAGGAACTAAGATTTTTACTATGAATTAAAAAAATTAAAATCAAAGAAATAAAGACCCTGTAATTGTAAATTTAAATTGTAAGCATCAATATGAACTCATGATGTTTTTCTGTTAAAAAAATTTACTAACTCACTCTGTGTAAAAGGCTGAAGAAGTAAAATCTGACCAAGTGCCAGCAAGCACCCACAATTTCCAAAGTATGATGTCTAAATGCCTTTTCCTCCAAAAGGATCTTGGGCTCCTTGGAAAAATGACTCTAGGTCTGGGCAGGAAATACATTAGGAGCTCAGAACCTATTTTATCCTAGTAAGAAAGGACAAGATATAGGGAAGAAACCTGAAGATTTACAGTAGCTCTCAAAAGTGTAGGCCCTGAACCTGCAACATCAGCATCACCTGGAAATTTATCAGAAATGCAGATTCTTGGGCCTCACCCAGACCAACTGAATCAGCCACTCTGGGAGTGGCCTCAATAGTTTATTTCACCAGCCCTTTTAGGAGCCTTGAGAAACCCTGGATTAAAAACTTAAGAAACTTAAGAAACAACAAATTCAAAATATGGATGTTACTTGGATCTTGAATCAAACCAATTATTAAAAAGTACAATTATGAAGCAATCAGGGAAATGTGTCTATTAACTCCATATTTGGGGATACCTATTGAGTATCTGTTATTTGAAACTACCAGAAGTAGTTCTTTTTTTGGATTTTTTTTTTCCAGATTTTGAAGTATTTGCAAAGAATTTTTGAGTTGAGCATCCCTAATCTAAAGATCAGAATGCTCAAAATGGGGCTGGGGTTGTGGCTCATTGGTAGAATGCTTGCCTAGGCACTGGGTTCGATCCTCAACACCACATAAAAATAAATTAATAAAATAAAGGCATTGTGTCCAACTACAACTAAAAAAGTATTTTAAAAATGCTCAAAATGCATTGGCTCAAAGAGTTCTGGACTTTGGAGCATTTTGAATTTTGGATTTTGATTTTAGGGATGTTCAACCTGTACTAAAGAATTATGTTCATTGTTTAGGTGAGCTAATGATATTATGGTGTTTTAAAATCTTTTTTCCCTAGATATACATGCATATATATATATATATTATATATATATATATATTATATATATATATATATATAATATTATATAATAGATGATATGATTAGTTTCTAGGATTAGTTTCAAATTAATTTTAGAGAGAGAAGGAGCTTGGGTGTAGGTGAAATAATTTTGGCCTTGAGTTGATGATTGCTAAACTGGACAGGTTCCTGGGGGGAGGGTCATTATCCAATTTCTTCTACTTGCATAAACATTTTGAGATGTTCCTCATAAAAAGGAAAGCAAGCAAACAAAAACTCTTCCCAGAAGCCAGGCTTCGAGACACTGGTGGAGGATTTTGTGCTCCTGGGGGGGAGGGGCTTCCATCTCTGCTCTTGGCTCTGCGATGCTCACTGAATTGTTCTGTTGATATTGTCAAGAGTGTTCTTACTTGCATAAGCATTTCCTAATTCCTCTGTTATCGATAAATAGATACTACATTATGCTCTGAAATGTTCAGTATCCTGAATTTTTTTAAATTTTATTCATGTATATTGTTGCATTCTGAAAAATTTCTTTAAAATGTTACTGTTTTTCAGTAAAGTTGTCAGTTATTAACTAAAAAGAATGAAAGGAAAGAAAAAAGAAAACAAGAATTATTCTGTTGAGTGACTGTTGGTACTGGGCACTGCTCATATACATCTTATTTTACCCCTTTACCACGACCTTGGGGAATTAGGTTTTTTGTTTTTTACTTTAAATTTCTAAATTGAGGTATAAGAATCAGATGTTCTTATTTTTTTATTTTATTTTAAAATGTTTTTATTTTTAATTGATTCATAGTAATTGCACATTTAGGGGTAAGTGTGGCATTTCAGTACACATGTGTCATGAATAATGGTCAGATCAGGGTCATTGGCATATCCACCTCAGACATTTATCATTTCTTTGTGAGCATTCAAAATCCACTCCACTATCTTCAGTTAGGGGGTTTTTTTTGGGTTATTGTTATTGTTTTGTTTTTGGTATTGGGGATTGAACCCAGGGGCAATTGACTACTGAGCCACATATCCCCAGCCCTTATCTAGAGACAGGGTCTCACTAAGTTACACAGAGCCTGGTTAAGTTGCTGAAGGTGGCTTTGAACTTTTGATCCTCCTGCCTCAGCCTCCCAAGTTGCTGGGTCTATAGGCATGTGCCACCGTGCTTGGCTTGGAGTTAGGTCATCTTGTTTGCATTTTCCAGAAGTAGGAGCTGAAACTCCAAGGAGTTAAATGATTTGCTTCAGCATCACACAGCTGGGAAGTGGCAGAGCTGTGTTTTGGAGCTCTCGCTGTTTTTTCTAAAGTATCTTAATGCTGTAAAAATGAAGGATTGAATCCAGTGGCACAGCAGATATAAATTATTACAATCTGTGGTTTTAAGTGCTGGACAGGATGTGTACAGGGTGTTAGGAGAGTGCCAATGAAAGGCGAGCCTTCCAGTTGGCAGGCACGTCACAGCACCTGCTCTGCATCAGGCAAAGGTGATCGAGGAAAGGAGGAACTGGTAGTTGACAGGGGATGCAGGCCTGTGACGACCAGTTGCTACAGTCCCCTGAATGTGGGCAGTTATGGGGAGCCTCAGCTCCTGGTGCAGAAGGGGCATCAGGTGAAGCGTCCTGCAGGAAGGGACAGCTGAGCTGTCTATAGAAAGAGAAATGGGTTAGCCAGGCCAGGAGTGAAGTGGCCATTCCCGGCTTCCATGGACTCCTCTGAGTCTCATCCTCCTGCAGTGTGATGGGTGGGTCAGGGGTGGTTATTCCAGTGTCACAGGTGTGGAGTTAAGGCTCTGACTGCAGGGCAGTTTGTCCTAGGATGGAGCTATGACCACAGCCCAAGTCTCTGTGGGCCCTGGATAGCAGGAGAGAACCGTGCAGACCTGATGTCTGGGTTAGGGTCTGTTCTGGAAGCACTGAAGACCCTCTAGTTGACATGATTGGCTAATCTTAAAAGTGGTTAAGGTAGGGAATCAAAAAGTGAAACATACCTTAAACATTTCGGTTTAACTTTAAACAGATAAATGTACTTACTTTTACCATTCTTTTGATGGAGGGCCAGGGCCTTTTCTTTGACTATGGGGCTGCTGTTTGGAGTTCCACATGTCCTTACTTTCATAAGCCACATCCATAATGTATGTCTGTCACTTCCAATTTCTGTTTCTTTAAGATGAAGAGAAAACTTAGACACTTGTGAAGCAATCTGAATTTAGAATTCTTCTAGACTGTGTTCCTCCCACATCTTGTATAGTTGTTTCACCCACACCTAATTTGCCAGAATGTGTTTTTCAGTGGCTCGCCTTTCTCTGGTCTTTCTGAAGCATATGCTAGTTTTCATAGTCGGTTCTCTCTATCCAGACACAGGCTTCATAGGTTCACTTAATATTTAATTAGATTCTGTAATTCTGTTACAACTACCATAAATAAGTTTGAGAATAAACTAAAGGGACTCTTCATAAGCTGACAACTCAGCATCTCCCCTTGGAGCAGAGGTTTTTGAGTGCAGCCAGGGAGAAGCAGGTGCCAGGCTTTCTTGCCACGAAGAAGGGAGCTGGTTAAAGTGTCTCAGTCCCCCTCTGAGCACTGGGAACCCAGTGTGGCCTCCCACCTCTACTCTACTCTGAAAATTCAAAGTAGGTCCTCCTAATGGATCACACTCACTAAGTAATAGTTTTGTATTATTTTTTTCAAGATTTAAACACAAAACTTAAAAATAAGCATAAGAGTTTTTATTAAACAACAACAACAAAATTTGAAATCACGCCTCCTGGAGACACTCTTAGCATCTTGTGGCCTTTGACCTCCAGCTCTGTGGCTGTGGAAATGGGTTCAGATTTGTGAAATGAGTGCTGTGGAGGCAGAGGGCAGCCTCTGTTGTTCTGGGCTCTTTTTCTCTCTCATTACAATCTTTTATATATATTGATATTTACATCTATAAATAGAGCTCTACAACCTCATTTTAATAGCTGCAGAATGACTTCTTTCTGTGTAAGTACCACAGTTTATTTTAGATCCATATTAAACAAATTGTTTTTTTTTTTTTTATTTCTGCTACCACTAACAATGCTGAAGTGGACATCCATGGACAACCAGCAACTTTCTTGTGCTTGTACGGCTGTTGTTTTGGGGTTAAATGCTGTAGTGTAGACTTGCTGGTTCAGAGATGGCCATGCACTTATAGTAGATCTTGCCAGGTGTTACTGAAAGGCCTTGCCAATTTGCAGTTTTACAGTGGTCATAAGACTGCTTTCTCTGATCTGTATTTTATCCAGTTTTGCCAATCTGATGGACAGAGAAAGCCTTCTAGTTTTTATTTAAAAATCTCTGCTAGTGACCTTGAGCATCTTTTTATCTGATTTTGCAATTGTTCCTATGTGATGTGACATTTTATATTCTTATTTCAGTTTTCTAATTCCTTTTCTCTTTAGATTGAAGAAATGAAAGCAGAGATCACTAAACTACAGAACAAATTGTTTGAACAAGAAAAGAAGTTGCAGAACAGCATGAGGCTTTTGCAGCAGAGCAAGCACCAGGAAAAAGTCATCTTTGACCAGTGTGAGTGAGCAGTGTGGGTAGCCGCTATGCTTGACCATTTCCTGCCCCTCGGGCTGACATCCTGCCCTGGCTTAGCCACACTGGAGCCCAGACCAGTGGTGATGAGGCCCCCTGGTTCGGGTGTCTTTTTATGCTGCATTCTTCCTGACCTGCCCAGACTCGTCTGTTCACTTCCCATGTCTTGGTGGCAGGGATGGTCCTCTCACTGGGGAGATGGGTATATGGCGCATGTGGTATGGGAGCACGGAGATGGCAGTGGGGTGGGTGTCACTGCCTGGGAGGTGAGCATCCTGAATAAAATGATCCTTGAGCCAAATCTAAAGGGAGTGAATGTCATCAGGTAGGACAGGGGGTGACATTCCAGGCTAGGAATAGCAGGGATAAAGGCAAGAAACCAGAAGTGTTTCTATTGGTTGCCTATGACAGGTCGAGGTAGGAGGAGCCTGGGGACTGGGCCTTGTGTTGTGACAGGCTTGGGGAGGCTGGCATGTACAGCAGAGGGTCGGCCCGCCATGCCTGTCAGTGAAGAGGCTTGGTGCTCTACCAGAGAGCAGGACATAACAGCAAGGACGCGGGATCAGAGTGGGTCATGGACTTGAGGAACCCTTCTTCAGGCAGGTGCGGAGCCCCAGGATCAGAGAGCCAGTCAGTCCCAGCTCTGGCCTAGCCACTCACCTGGTCCCTGGTTTAAATCTTCAGCACCGCTCAAGGCAGCTCCCATCAGCACCTCCTGGTGACCCTACCATGGCTGGGCCCACGCTGCCTGCATGTTAGTTTGCTTGTTTTGGGAGACTCTCAAAAGTGGACTCGGTGAGATGGGCAGAGCGAACTACAGTGCAGCAAGCTCACTTATGAGCAGGCACAGCCCCGGGGACAGGCGCTCCTGCTGGCCAGGAGCTCAGGGTAACTGGGGGTGGGGGGCTACACAGCTTAGCTGTGGGAGCACTGCTGAGTGCCTCGGGAGCCTGGCCAGGTTCTGGTTCAGGACTGACTGGGCCTTGAGGGATGGACAGCTGAGACAGCAACGGGGCAGGAACAGGATTTTGGTGACGGCCTTGTGGCCTTGTGCCAGCCCAGGAGGCAGGAGAGTAGAGTGTTCTGGAACATGCTCAGGACACACCAGGGCCTTTGAGGAGCCTTATGGGACAAGCTGAAGGTGCAGCAGAGACTGATACCATCCACTGAGTGTCAGCAGCTCCCATGGCCGAGCATGGAGGGCCATGCAGCAGGAAAGAGCTCTGCTGTGACAGTCCCTCAGGTGGGCAGTGGGGAGGCCTCTTGGGGCAAGGCAAGGCTGTCGAGAAATGGGGAGGTTGGGAAGCTAGTGAGGGGTCGGTCCAGCAGGGTGGTGGGTGTCATGAGGTTTTGGCTAGGGTGTTCATGTCACTTCCAGGGCAGACAGTGCCAGTCATGGCCATGTCAAGGTAGCCATGGGACATTGGGTCAGACTTCTGGGCAGCAGGGGGCCGAAGTGATGCTCTGTGTGGCCCCCGAGGCTGGGAAGCAGAACTCTGCCCCGGCACCCTCTTCCTCTGCAGCCTGGCTGGGATAGCGGCAGAGCACAAGGAGGTTTCAGAAGCAGGCATGAGGTTCACATGAGTCTAGTGACCACAGCAGACAGTGCCACACCCTGTGTCCTGGGTCAGCGAGCAAGGCATTGTGAATGGGCACAGTGCAAAGCTCTGACTTCAGTTTCCTTATCCCCAGGGGAGACAGTAATTCCAAAGGACTCACACTGGCCACACACATAGGCCTGGGTTCTAATCATGCTGCATAGAAAGTACCTCTGTCTCTTATCTGTAGAGGAATGTGAAGCTCCTGATATGAACTGTCCTTAGCACAGTGCGGGGACAGAGCTGCTTCCCTCTCTCAGTTAATCCAGATGATCTAAGGTACAGAGGTCATTCAGAGCAAGCCTGAGAACATCTCACAGCATCTCCCATCTGACGAGCTATCGCCGTCTCTGCGTTTTGTTCCAGCCAGTGGGCAGCTGCAGCTGGCCGGGCTCGGCCTCCTCCTGCCCGGGCTCGGCAGCTCGTCCTGACCAGTCAGGCCCTTGGGAATTCCTCAACACTGCCAGCCTCATGGGCCTGCTTCTGGCACTGAAGTGACTAAATGAAGGCTGGTAGCATTCCCTCTTCCTTGCCCACACAGTGACAGGAACAAGCAAGGGCTAGGGCTTGTCCCTGCCTGTGTCCTCCCAGGCTCTATAGGGGAAAGTAGGGAAAGGGTGACCTGGTGAGACTTAGGACTCTGCTGTTCACTGGGTATGTGACCTGGAAACACCAGCCTCAGGCCCTCATTTGCCAAGTGAGGACAGTGATCCGGGCTTGTGAGGTGAACCTAGTTGGCCAGGTGGGGCACCCTCAGGTGGGCATCTTCCTTGCCAGCCTCCCCTGAAGTGGAGGAGCCCTGGCCTGACTCATGTGACCCTAGGGTGTGAGCCTCTTCTTTGTGCTGGGACAAGGCTTGATTTGGGACACATTCTTTACCTCTCTGTCCCTCAGTCTTTTCGTCACAGTGGGGATTTCTGTACCTGGGAACGTGGGTGGTGCTGTTCAGATGTAAGGGCTACATCAAAACTTAAGTGAGGTAACCCTTAGCTCATATGGTGAGTTTTGTTCTCTCGGTATGTTCAGTACTCTTTCAAGATTATTTTTAACCTCAGTATCATGATACTTAATCTTTTCTGGGTCACAGGCCCCTTGGTGAATTTTGAGAAAGCTGTGGTCTCTTTCCCAGAAAAATGCACACATTCATACCCACATATAGACCCGCACGTCATATCCAGGATGTAGGACTCTCCAAAGCACACCCATGGCCCCAGGTTATGAACTTCTGCTTGCAGACTTCAGTGGGGAGTGGAGGTACAGAGAAGCAGTGGCCACTTCTGAAGTTCATTTTGTTCAGTTAAAGCCCACACGGCCTGTCCCTTCCCCTGATGGTGCAGATTGCAAGTAGATTTTATTACCCTAGGTAGAATTTTTTGTGAAGCATAAAAAATATTTTCTCTAGGTCCCCACAGATTACCTGCTGTGAACACGCCACTGGGAAGCTGGGACATGGTGTTGGTTTCAGTCTGTTTTAGCTGCAGGTGCTGTTGGCCAAAGGCCCGGATCCARGGCTTGTGCCTGTGCCACTGGGCACGGGGCTGATTCCCTGACCCTCACCAAGCCTGTTTAGAATAGGTTCCTGGTAAGCTCAGAATCCGCTCAGCAGTGCCGTCCCTGCTGTCGCTGGAGTTTGTGTTGGACAAGAAAAGATGGAGGAGGAGGTGGTGCTCCTTCAGCTGCTCTCCTGAGAGGTGGACACTCCCGCTCTCTGGAGTTCCAGTTCTGCAGGCCTGCTCAGTACACAGCTCTGGTGTCAGTGGGCAGCATCCTCTGAGATCACCCACCAGCCTGCTCCCGTCCAGGCAGAATGCAGCTTCCCCAGGGAGACCATGGGGGCTGTTCTGCCATCTGGAAGGTGGGGGCAGCCAAACCRCCCAGGGTTCTCCCCCCAGGCTTAGGAACTTGGCAGTGTGAAACCCCACCTCTGCTTAACTTCCCTCAGCACTTGATATGGGTCTCCACACATGGGTTTGCTCCCCCTCTGCTTCTCAGAGGGCTCAGGACACCATGAATGCCTGGACCTGCCCTGCACCACGGACCTCCCTGGCCCACAGAGAAGAGCCATCAGGTTGCCTGGGTTACCAGGTGGCCTTGCAGAGCCTTGGTATTGCCCCTAACAGTGGCTTGGCATGCTCCGCCTGGTGCCTCCCTGTGAGACTGGCTTTGTGGGGACTGAAAGAGGTGTCAGTGGTCCACCCTTTCTGATGTGTCATTTGTGCTGGGCCCCAAGAGGGGACAGGTAGACCCTCATGCTCCTCTCTGTTCTGGATTCTTCAGGGTGGTTCATGTGTCAGAGCCTTCAAGTTGGGCTTCTCCTCCCTGAACTGGGCTTTTTCACTGCCCTCCCGACATCTGGTCTCTGATCATCTTGTTCTTTGCTTTCTCCCCAGTGCTTGTAACCCACAAGGTCCTTCGGAAGGCCAGAGGAAACCTAGAGGTAACTTCATTCCTTTGTCTGTTTTTTTTTTTTTTTTTTACTTAAAGCCACGTAGTGGGTGGGGATGGGTACAGGACCAGAAATGATCTCTTTTGAAAAATGAATTAGGAAGTGGAACCAAGGGACATGTCCTCCATATAGAGTTGTATTTTTCTGCCAACAAAGAATGACAGGTTTCATGCCTATCTTCAGTATTTGCTCTGGTTTTTAGATTTGTTTGCTGTTTTTACCAGGGAAAAAAGCAGCAGCCATTGACTGGCACATAGTAGGACTTTGTTAAATCTTTCTAGAATGAATGAATGAATACAGTATGATCTCATTGTCACTTTGTTCTGTTAATATTTGCTGGTCAAACTAATAAGTCTTAGAAAGCAGTTTCAGAATCACATCTTGCTTTTAACTCTGTCAAGGATCTTATTTCCGAAACCCTCCCCTCGACCTAAAACCCTCCTTTTTTYCCCCTCCTTTTCTCTAGCTGAGGCCCGGGGGTGCCCATCCAGGAACAGCCAGTCCCAACAGACCTGGCTCCTGAGGACTTGAAGCTAATAAAGCTTGTGGCCCCGAGATCACGCGTCTCTGTTCCAGCTGAGGCTTCTGGTGGCTGAGGGAGAAAGGGGAGAAATGGCTGCCTGGCCCAAGGAAGTCTCTTTCCCTCCGTGTTCTCCATCCACAAGTGGCTCATGGTTGTGGCCACAGAGGTTCAGGTGCTCTGCGGTGAGGCGTGGAAAGGCCTTGAGCTCTGGGAGGCTGCCGTGGGTCTGGGGCAGGGATGGCTGGTGTGTTGCTGGGCTCCACGTTTGTCCTGGGTGACCTTGGCTCTCACTGGCTCTGCAGTTTGAAGAATCTCCTTAAATGATTCATTGCATTCCAAGGGGATGATTCAGTCACTTTGTGTGGAGCCTCAGAGCCTGGGTCCCAAACTCCCCTGTGGGACAGGCCAGGTCTCAGGAGTCACTTGATCCTCAGATCTCGCCCTGAGCCTGCTGCTGAGCCCTCGCAGGTTTCCAGAGAGGAGGACTCCATGCAGCGTGGCCTTGGGCTGTGCCTGCACCCTACAGGTGCTCGGCCTCTCACAGTCGCCTGGAGAACAGCCTCTCAGTGGTGCTGTTGTGACTTAGGAAGGAGCAGGGTAAGGCTGGGACTTGGCATTTGCACTGTCCCGATGATGACAGTGACCTGTCCACCCAGTGTCCTCATTGGTGCCTGGGGGTACTTGCTTGCTGCAGCCCTGTTATTAACCCTGTGTATCCTTAACCTTTGCCCTGAACGTCACAGTGTCCCTGAGAAGTAAACAAAGCAGGGCTGAAGCTGGCCCAGGGACCTCCTGGAGACGGGGCAGACTTGGCCCCCAGCTGTGCTTTGACATGATTCTTTTGGCCTTGCTCTTCCTGTCTCACAGTCCTGTGCCCATGGTCAGGTGTCACAAAGTGCCCAGCTGGGCAGATGGGCCTCTTGTGGGAGCCTAGGCAGGGAGCACTGGGAACCCTGACTCAGTGTCCCTCACTACCTCTGCTTCTGCCATGTTCTGTGCATTTGAGTGACCTTTGGGATGACCCTGCATTTTGCTTTCCTTCTGAAGTCACTCATGCAGACCATCTACCTCTAGCTGTGACCTCCCCTGCACCCAGCTCCCGGCTGCCTCATCCCCCTCTTGTCCTGACCTCTTAGTGTTGTTCCCTATCTCTGGTCCTCTGCCTCTTCTTCTGTCCCTAGGCTCCTCTCTAGTCTTCAATTCCTTTTCCATCCAGTTTGTTGGTCTTGCACCCCACACCCAGATTCCTTCTCTGCCCTGCAGCAGCTGAGGTGCTGAGAAAACAGGGCATCTGATCAGGATGCTCCCCCACCCGATAGCCATTGGTGTCTTCCCGCCACCTTCTGGTCCAAGCCCAGGTCCCTGACAGGGTTCATGGGGGCCCGTGTCTGGCCCCTCCTGGTGCCCCTGGCTCCTGTCATTCCACTTCCTTGCATTCTGGTCGGGTCCAGGCGATCTGAACCATCTCCAGCTCACTGGTGGGGCCTTGCTGCCCTGCCCTACCCAGCCCAACCAGGGTGCTGACTCTTTGAAGTGCCCCTCTCACCCTTTCTCTTTCCAGCTAGCTTTGAGTGGTCTTTCGGAAATCTTTCCCCCATTGAGCCTCTCCCGATCCTTGATGCTCTGTGCTGCATCCCTCTCTGCTCCTGCTGCCCCCAGAGTCATCACTCCCTGTTTGGGGACCTCCCTGAGCTCCTGGAGAGCGTCTTGGCAGGCCTGGTACACAGAGCCGAGCAGATGGGACCAGTTTCTGGGAGAGACCTGATCCGAGGAGCCCGTCATCAGGTTGCTGAGAGACAGTACTAACTCCTGCGCAGCCAAGGGCAGCTTCAGGCACCCCACAGTCCCTCCCTGGAGCCCCCAGAGCCATGTGGAGGATGTGATGGTGGTCAGGGTCACCCTGTCTTCACAGATCAGCCAAGAGCCTTAGCTTATGGTTAATGGAGCCAGGACTTGTTCCCTCTTGATCCCTCCTGTCCTTCCAGACCCCAGACTGGCTTCTCTGCAACCACACACCTGCCTAGATGCAGGGATGCTCAGTTGGAGGCAGAGGGAGCAGAAGCCAGGTGAGCCCAGGACGGGGCCTTACCCCAGGTACCCTGGACAGGTAGTCGGGAAGGTCCCTTCCCGCCGGGGTTCCTCCTCTGCACAGCCCCCCCTCATTTTCACATTTGCCTGGGTGTGAAAACTCAGATTTAGGCATAATGTCAAAAGGAGTTCCTTTTCCAAGAAATCATACCATGGTCTTTCCAAGTAGAAGCTTGGTCAACAGGAGGCCTGGGTCCAGGCCCCAGCCTCCACACCTGTCAGATGGGGCTTACCCTTCTGCCCAGTCCTGATGGCAGAGTTGATGAGAGCCTCAAAAATTTAGAAATAGCTGAAAAATAACATTCTTGTCAAAAATCAGTGGCTCTTCAGTGTCTCTTCTGTGGCTGGTCCCAAGCAAGTTTTTTTTTTTTTAATATTTAATTGATTTTATTCTTTAAATATATGACAGTGGAAAGCATCACAATTCTTATTACACATATAGAGCACAATTTTTCATATCTCTGTTTGTATATAAAGTATGTTCACACCAATTTATGTCTTCATACATGTACTTTGGATAATAATATCTATCACATTCCACCATAATTGCTAACCCCCTGTTCCCTCCCTTCCCTTCCCACCCCTCTGCCCTATCTAGAGTTTGTCTATTCCTCCCATGCTCCCCCTCCCTACCCCATTATGGGTCAGTCACCTTGTATCAGAAAAAATATTCGGCATTTGTTTTTTTTTGGAATTGGCTAACTTCACTTAGCATTATTTTCTCCAACGCCATCCATTTACCTGCAAATGCCATGATTTTATTCTCTTTTATTGCTGAGTAATATTCCATTGTGTATATATGTCACATTTTTTTTTAATCCATCTATCTACTGATGGGTATCTAGGTTGGTTCCACAGTTTAGCTATTGTGGATTATGAAAAAATGTTCATCATCTCTAGCAATTAGAGAAATGCAAATTAAAACTACTCTAAGATACCATCTCACTCCAGTCAGAATGGCAGTTATTATGAAGACAAATAACAATAAGTGTTGGCGAGGATGCAGGGAAAAAGGCACACTCATACATTGCTGGTGGGACTGTAAATTGGTGCAGCCAATATGGAAAGCAGTGTGGAGATTCCTTGGAAAACTGGGAATGGAACCACCATTTGACCCAGCTATCCCTCTCCTCGGTCTATACCCAAAGGACTTAAAAACATCATACTACAGGGACACACTCAAGCAAGTTTTTAAAGTTTTATTTGAAGTTCCTGTGTCAGGTGTGCACAGATGCAGTGTGTATGTGAGTGGTCAGAGGTGGGGGTGCATTGGAGTGGTTAGCCCAGGCTAGGCTTGACGTCAGACCACGATTTGCCCATGGGGGAACAGAACCACCTTCCCTGGTTTGTGCACAGTCTGTGGACCCTGAGGTTGGTCATTGGCAAGGGCATGAACTGGGGGTGCTCTGAAAAAGGAACCTCTGGTACATCCAAGCCTGTGTGGCTGCGAGTCCCAGGGTGCCTGGGAGCAAGGCCCGCAGAGCAGGCCTGTGAGAGCCCAGCGACCCTTCTCTTCAGGCCACCACAGGTTATCAGGACATGGTAATCCAAACAAACGTGTTTTTATGCCTTAGCTTAAAGAAAGTCCCAGCCTTGCCCTAAGGAAGGCCCACCCTTCTCTAGGAGGTAGAGGAGCAGATGGTTTGTTTGGGCTGGGTTAGGGCCAAGAACAAACTCTGCAGAGAGGGGCAATTTGGACCTTGGGAAAAGCTCCATTGTCCCTGGTGAGTTAATTTCACCAGCAGCTGAATTCAGGAGGCTCCTAAGCAGCAATCAGAAAATGCGTCAATTTCACGTCCTCTGTGAGATTGATTACCACGTGTGCAGCACACCTGAGACAAACAGCTGCAGGGGCTAAATATAGTGAGGAGAGGAGAGGCCACGCCTCCGCTCAACCTGCCTTGGGAAGGGTGCTTTGACCTCACTTCTGAAGCCCACCTGCCTGCTTGGCTGCCGTGAGGCACAGGTAAGCTCCTGGACCCCCAGGCAGTGGCAGCCTGGATAGCAGGAGCCACCTCCTCCTGCCCTCCATTTCTTTAGTCTGCACCCTCCACCCATTTCACAGAAAAGGAAACTGAGTCACTCAGAACCTGTTCTCTGAATTTTCCTGCCRTGCTTACAGACAGAGGGTATCCTCATGTGCCCTTTCCCACTCAGTGTCTCTGGATGACCAGAGCAGAGACCCAGAGCCCCACAGTTGAATTCCTCCACACAGTAGCCCGGGAACTGCTTGTAAATGGCCTGTGGGTGGAGAAGGAGTGATCTTGTTAATACAAGTTCTCAGCATCGGCTGGGCCGGAAACCTGCCTGGGGGATCCTGGCCCTGCCAAATGGCCTCTGCGATCTTGGCCATATTTTATGTCTAACTCAAAAATCCAATTATCAAGATGACTCATCCCATCTCCTGAGGAGGCCAGGCTCTGCCTCAGGCCCAGGCTGTTTACCTCTGGCCGCAGTGGGGCCTTCCCAGCTAGCTTCGCTGTTTGCCGGGGACTGGCTGTGGGCAGATCCGGAGACTCAGGGGTCTTGTCCTAGGCCTAGGGAGGTGCCTGAAAAGACTAAGCCTCAGTTTCCTCATCTGCAAGGTCAGGAGATGGGGAAAGCTAAAGAGACAGAATGGCCCCAGGTGAGGCCCAAACGTCAGCCCAGGCCTGGGGGTTTGTTCCTGAGGGTCCTGCATTCAGCCAGTACCTCCTCCTCCCTTACCCTCTGCGTCCTGTCTGACATCAGTGCCACTTCACCTCCCAAAGCCATTGCTTCATCCAGGTGGCCATCAGTTCCCACCTGGACCACTTACTGCAATAGTAGGACTTCCCCCCTTGCACCCCTACCCTCTCCAGATGTGCCCCAGGCCACAGCTAGAGCAGATCTGCAGTGCAGAGCCCCCACTTACTCGGAGCCAAGTGTGGAACGCTTCCTCACCTGGAGTGGTGCAGGCCCTCAGGCCCAGCTGCTGCCCTCTGTTTCCCCCCCAGGCACAGGGCGGCTGCATGCTGCCCCTGCCCGGCACCTCCCTGGCACCTCTCACCCTGGCTTCTCGAGCTGGTGGCTCCTAGTTATGTTCCAGAGCCCAGTCCTTAGTCTCCCCAGTCAGAAGGGGCAGTGATGCTGATGTTCAGTGTCTGCTGAATCTGCCTCACTGGCGTTTGGCTACCATGTGA